ACCAACATATTTTTAGTTGAATAGTTCCTTGATAATGTGAGTAGTCACGAAAGCGCTTGGAATTTCTCTATTCTTTCAGAGTGGTTGTTTTGCATATATATATATATATATATATATATATATAATATATATATAATATATATATATATATATATATATATATATATATATATATATATATATATATATATATATATAAATGTTAGGAGAGTAAAGTAAAGTCTATTAACCAGCATATATTTCTTTATTATTTATATACATAATCGATATGTGAATTACTTGCTTACGAAATAACAGACAACAAAAAAAGTCCGCTCGACCTATCACATCACCGGGATATATTATAATTATTATAAATATTATTTTATTATTATTATTATTATTATTATTATTATTATTATTATGGGGAAGCGCTTGGACCTTAGGCGGTCATGCAGCGCCTGGGGGAATGGGAGGTAATCAGGTTTGATCTATGGATGGGGGGGTATGGGTAGCTCCGTTCCTCGGGATCAAAAGCCTTCTTCACCGGCATCGCTTTAACACACTCCTATATACAACATGTCTACGTGGTGAAGGCACACTTCATTGAGAGAACGTTTCGCTCGGTGTAGAGCTTCATTAAGGTGACTTGATACTGTTCAAGAGCGAAACGTTGTCCGAGTAAAAGCTGGCATCTTTCCTTCACTCTTGTCGACAGGACTTTATTTGGATCCACGTTTAGCCTTGCTCGAGTTTAGGTAACAAGACAAGCGTCTCCTGTGCCACTGAGGGCTTAAGAACCACTGGCTTACTGGTGCTGCGTATCAGTGGTTAGCAACTTCTCTTTCATGGGTGCTGGGAATCAGTGGTTAGCAGTAACTTCTTATTTCATGTGCTAGGCTCCACACCTCATCATGTGCTCGGCTCCACACCACATCATATACTAGGCTCCACACCTCATCATGTGCTAAGCTCCACGCCTCATATGCTAGGTTCCACACCTCATGTGCTAGGCTCCATACCTCATCACCTGCTAGGCTCCACACCTCATATGCTAGGTTCCAAACCTTAGAATTCCAAGTCCAATCATTCAGGGGCTGAAAACGATGATACACTTTGCAGAACAAGGTCTTTACCGGGACGACGTTCCGTTCTAAGATCTTTCTTATGACTTGGGGAAAGCTGCACCTAGAGAGAAGGTTCCGCCACTAAAGTCTCGTTCCGGTACCAGTCTCAGTTCCTGGTACCTTCCGGCTTTACTCTCTTCGGCCCATTTTCCAACAACCTCAGTGATAATTTCGGTCATCATCTCTCTGTTATTCCGTCTCGACTCCAGTGAAAAAAAATTCACCATAATATCCTGATTTTTCTCGAAATTTAATTAGTATTCCTGGTTTTGACATCTCGTATAAACATATAAAAATTTATATGCTGCTTGACATTTATATTCTATCCCATAATTATTTATTACAATAGATTTTATTTATTTTTTTTTGGCGAAAAGTGGGTAGTTATTCATACGATAAAATGACAGTAGATTTAGGTGATTACTGATTATTGTAATCACGAATAAGGGTCATACACAGCTTTGGAAGTGGGAAGTAATTAGACTTAACCCACAGAAAGGTTGAGTAGCTTCATTTCTTTGCATTTAAAAACTCTTCACTGGCGTCTTTGACGGCAGCACGAGGAGAGCACTAGCGTCAGATGACTGCGAAATATTTCTGACTTACACAGACGTGAATGGTCAAAAAACCCAGAGGTACAACAGTGTAGTAAATTTATGCTATGTGTAGTACACGAGTGTAAGGAAATGTACACTTTTGTTCACAAATTGATCATGTAGTTTACCCGTTTGATAATGTGTACCTCGATACTTGTCATTATTACGTCCCTTTAAACTGTGAAAGAAAAATGAACATGATAACGGCCCAGTGACTGGATTCCACAACACTGTGTTACGGTGGACTTGCGAGAGGGACACAAGGGCCCTTGACACCTGCTAGCTTGATATGCAATCGGAAAGTCTTTCTCGTGTTATTTTACCACACACTGAGAAATGAATAATGAGAGAAAAGCTTACGACTTAAGGTGAAATTAATAATATATTGACATGAATGCGTTCAACACGTAACTCGAGGAAATATGAAAAAAAAAATGAGCACCAGGAGAAATATAACAAAACAAACACAGGGATATATACTCAATAATAACCCACATGTGTATATTTCAACCCCCTGATGGGGTCTGTACATTTCATCTGTATATTTCGACCCCCTGCTAGGGTCGAAATATACAAACCAATCAATTTTCTGGGTTTCTTTCTTCATGACCAGGCCTTGAGGAGGCCTGGTCATGGACCGGTCCGCGGGAGAGTTGACCCCTATAACACCCTCCAGGCATGTGGGGTATTATTGGGTGTTACACTTTCTTTAGTTATTCACAAGGTTATATACATCGATAGGTGGTGTGTAGCTCAGTGCATATACACTAAAAGTTTACTAAAATTTCTAGTGACTGATGGTAAACAGGTCACATGCAGCCTTATGTTCACTGCATATGTTGAAAAGGACTCTGAATTATATATGTGAAGTTGATAACTTGCACTGTGCGTGTGATTATTCACGCATCATTAATTTTGTTTATCTTTTTCTTTATAATAACCATCTATGATAATTAAACATTAGCTTTAAGATGGTGAGAAACATGACAGTGTGCTAAATATATTTGTGATTCTTTAATGTTTTTAAAAGTACAGTAAGTCCTCACTTAACGTAGTTTCGTTCAACGTTGTTTCGTTATAACGTTGATAAGGAAAAAAATCGATTCCCGGCCGGGGCCGTTGTCTGTGTGTGGCGTTTACACATTTGTTTTCTAACTGCATAGTCATAGGAAGTGCTCGTTAATACTTTAACTCTTCAAACATTTATAGCTTGATTTAACCCTGTTGCAATTAGTGCAAAAGGGGGAATATGCACCCTTGATGTTTATATAAATTAGTCTATGGTAAAATTGATTTCGTTATACGCCGCAGTTTCCAAGAATCTCTCAACGACGTTAAGTGAGGACTTACTATACATAGATGTGTGTGTGTGTGTGTGAACTCACCTATCTGTACTCACTTATTTGTGGTTTCAGTGGTCGAGTCCTAGCTCCTGGCTCAGCCTCTTCGCTAGGTTCACACTCTCCTTGCTCCAAGAGCCTTATCGTACCTGTTCTTAAAGCTATGTATGGATCCTGCCTCCACTACTTCACTTTCCAAATTGCTTCACTTCCTGACAACTCTAAGGCTGAAGAAATACTTCCTAGCATCCCCATGGCTCATCTGAGTGTGTGTGTCATTAATATTTTCTAATGTCTGTGCTTGTATATCTGTCCACCATGTTTATAATACCTCTGTGGTATCTTGTCTACTTCTCAAGTATTTTGTATATTATTATTATAATCAAAAAGAAGCGCTAAGCCACAAGGGCTTTGTATATTATAGTCATGTCTCCTCTATTTCCTTGTTAACATAGTCTCGTGAGTTCCAGTTCGAGGAGTCTTTTTATAACTTTTTTGTGTGTCGGTTTCCATACCAGATCTATAGACAAATTCAAAACTCATAAAAATCTTTGTTTTATTCGGTGTGGGTTCCACACCGGGGCTGTGTATTCGAGAACTGGTCGATCAGATGTTGCATATGTAATCTTGAGAGCCACCGATTTTATTCCCTTAATATGATTCTGGTGACTGGTTGGGAGTAATGTTAACTCCTTGATCTTTCTCATTATTTGATTTTGTAAGTTAGTACGCGTATTGGTGCATGTATACGTGCCTTTGCGTATGCGTGCGTGTGCGTGTGTATGCGTGTGCTACTATGAAGCTACATATGTGTTCTTGACGGCAACTGTGAACATGTCAGCATGATAACAAGTGTAAGACAGAATTATCGTAAGTGCTTCTGTGAGTGTGACAAATTTGTGAGATATATTTAGGCTGGTATACTCCAGGTATACTCCAGGTATACTCCGAGGATACTCCTGGCTAGTGAAAGTGAGTGTGTGCCTGCGAAAACGTGGGAAAAGAAGATAAATTAAAGGGATGGATGAGGGAGACAGAGGCATATAAATCAAAGGCTGACAGCGAGGGCGTTAATAAGACTTACCACAACTCTCTAGCTGTCTGATCACGAGGGTCATGACTATGCTTCTCTTTCCCCAAACTACTTCTGGTGTGGCTCTGATTGCAGTGTGGCTCCAGGGGTGTTGCCCTAGGAGTGTGGCCCTACCTAGGAGTATGGCACTTCCTAAGATTGGGGAAGTCCAGATTGCTGTGTGAAGTAGGACACTGCCCGGAGGATGGGTCTGACTGGATTCTCTTCCCTGAGTGGGAGATGTGACTTTATCCTCGGTGTGACCGTGTCTGGGATGTGACACACACGCATTACAATACCTAAGCTACTAATGTGCACCAGAACGCTTTACTAAAACTCAAACTGCTACTTCTAATCGACTCTGAGTATATATATAAGAGAAAAAATAGGAAAGAGATCTTATCATTATGGAGGCGACACACGGTGCTGCCCCCTACCGCCTAACTTTCTAACCTACTTCAATTGACATGGTCACGTGTTCTTTGATATAAAATGTTTTAGGAATATATAATTTGTACACATGACAGATACATCACACACGCACACACGCGCGCACACACACACACACACACACACACACACACATGTATACATAGCTTTAAGAAGAGGTATGATAAAGCTCATGGAGCAGGAAGAGTGACCTAGTAGCGACCAGTGAAGAGGCGGGGTCAGGAGCTGTGAATCGACCCCTACAACCTCAGCTAGGTGCATACAACTAGGTGAGGACACACACACACACACACACACACACACACCACACACACACACACACACACATACACACACACATACACACACACATACACACACACATACACACACATTTTATATATATATATATATATATATATATATATAATATATATATATATATATAAAAGGGCTTGGATACGACCGTGCAAAACAGAAAATCATGTGGGAGTGTTGTTGTAAACCGTCTTAAATAGATAGTGGAGCTTTAGAATACAAAAAAGATGAATTTGACAAAAAAAGTCAACTTACGGACAGACCCAGCTTCTATTTTTTAATTCCCATGTAGTATATTATTATCTTAACATACTCCATACTCGGGAGTATATCTCAACCGATTATATATATATAAAGTACATAAATTCACCTATCACAGTGTAACAATAGACATCTTCAGGTTTAATATGTACGAAGCTATGAATGTATTCCTGCATGTTTCGTCTCAGTGAGTCGTTTTGAGAAGTCAGTAAGACAAGTGGGATAACCCGATTATGTTGTGTCCAACCGCTCCGACTGCCAGAGTTTATTCCTGAAAGGAAGCTTCAAGGGTATAGAGTTTCTCAAGGGGATAGGATTCCTCTAGGGTATAGGGTACCTCAAGGGGAGTATAAGGTACCTCAAGAGGTGTATTCACCGAAAGGTGTATAAATCTCGGTGCTCTAAGAGTTGAATATAATCGCTATTTTAGGGATTAAAATATCCCTTCCATGTGGTATACTACCTCGATCACTGCTTAACAGACTTTAAATCCAGTAAACTAAGCAAGAGTGTTGTGATGTTATTTACCCATCAGTGTTTCCCACCCTGGCAATACGGCCCCTCGTGAATTATTCTAAATTTTGCGTTTCCAAAATTACGTTTTATTCACCATTATTACCATTCCTAGTAAATTTACAACATGGAGGGTTTTAGCTAAAAATGAAAGTGGCAAACACTGCTCTAAAGATTTTCACTTACCATTTCTTGTCAATTTGTAACATTAATGAACCTCTGGACTTATTCACAACCTATAGAAAATTTAATTTGAATTAAAAAAAAATCACAACAATTTTATATTCTGCCAGTTCTTATGAACATCCTTTATCATGGATCTAAAAATATACTCAAGCCGTCTTAGTTTACATATATTTTTCCTTATTCTTAAATACCTGATCATTCCAATCATTCGTTAGATATCCGATCATTGCAGTCACTCTATTTAACTGTCAGATTCCAGCATCTTGTTGATGTTTTGCATCGATTGTTGCCTAATATTTTGTTTCCCGTGAGAGGAGAGCAGTTATCTCCCGTCTTCCGAGGATTCTGTCACGCATCGGCCTGTATATCAACTCATGTTGATACTCATTGTCTTTGCAAAAATCACGGAAGATAACACCGACTGGCTTCATTACCAGAGGAACCTGACAGAAGGCGGCTTCATGATTCGACACTCATGAGATCCTTATGATTTCTACATTCAAGTATCTTGACACTCATCGACTTGAGGAACTGTCGACGAGGGCAAACTAATGAACAAGAATAAACTTCCACGGTAAATTAACCACAGAACTGAGCATTTTAAGGAGTTATGAGTGAAGCTACGCAATCCTCGATCACGCAGAGGATTCAGTATTCGCCAGTTTGTCAATTAGCCTCCTTTTTGCCGATTTTTCAGTTTGTCGCTTGAACATTGCAGAACAGGACTGTGGACCTGTCGGCTTTAACAGCCTCCAGACTGAACAGGTCGCGGAGCTAAAACCTGTAACCTGTTACAGGTCTTTTGTTATATGAGCACCGGTTCAGCTGGTACGCATCCACTAGAGTACAGAAGCTACAATGTTCACCCCATCCTTAAAAAAGTATAAACAGGATCGCGACACAATCTACGAGGATACGGTCTTGATCGTGTTGTAGTAGACAGTAGGCTTCTTGATACGTCTTTCGTGGCCAAGCGTCGTTCTGAATGATGATGACGTCTGAACGTCGCGTCACCAACAACTGATGACGGAGGTAAACACTGGATGACGTCGCAGCTCTGGAGACGCTCTACTAAATCTCATTAAAGATGTTCATCGACTGAATGACTTTCTCGTTCTGCAAGAAAAAATAATAGTTACTCTTCTCACATAGAAAATGCAATACGTAAACAGTAATCTGTGAACTGAATCACTATTTCATTAATACCTCTGACTGGAATAATTCACAACTAATCCAAAATTCTAAACCGAAACTGGTCAACGTTTCAAGCCATTTTGGACAGTGATATAACTGCTACTTGATAAAGGTCCAAAACAGACCGAAATATCTAATTTTCTTTTCAGAAAATGAAAAAACAAGGTGCAAGAAGATTCTAGTTTGTGTAATTATCACTAACTATAAAGTAACAATTACATTAACGCAACTATTGCTATTTATAATAAACAATAAAAATACACAAATGCAGTTTTCACAAGATAATTTCTAGGCAAGGGTAAATACACCCAAAGATGTGTATTTCTGTGTATTGATGCTGTATGTTTTAATTCCTATTTAAGTTATTAAGATATCCTCGGCTGGTGGTGAACAGGTTACGTGCAGCCTTAATGAGTCTCGTGTAGTCGATAAGCTTGAAACTCAATAAACCAATCTTTTATTTTAGATTTTGATAATTGTTTTTTTGAGTTTCAAAGTCTGAATCAGTAAAAAGAAACCAAATTAATACACGAAAACTTATTTCGTGAACTATCTGCGTTTGGGGTCTCAGTGGCCACACTAGCACAGACATGGGCACACTAGCACAGACATGGGCACACTAGCACAGACATGGGCACACTAGCACAGACATGGGCACACTAGCACAGACATGGGCACACTAGCACAGACATGGGCACACTAGCACAGACATGGCACACTAAGCACAGGCATGGGCACACTAGACAGAAGGCCACACTAGCACAGACTTGGCACACAGCACAGGACATGGCCACACTAGCACCAGACATGGCCACTAGCACAGACATGGGCACACTAGCACAGACATGGGCACACTAGCACAGACATGGGCACACTAGCACAGACATGGGCACACTAGCACAGGCATGGGCACACTAGCACAGGCATGGACACACAAGCACTGGCATGGCTGGTGTTGTAGTGAAGAGGTTCAGTGAAGCTGGATGAACACCATGTAGTTGATAGTATTGAAACCTAACCAACTAATGAAGCCTTAGAAAAGGTTCCATTGCTCCAGATACCATATGGTACGAACAATTCCTTCAAAGTCTTAGGAAGAACAGATTCCATCAAAGGAAGTGCTAGGAATACCAGAATCCCTCTAAGGAAGTCTTAGGAAGATCAGATTCCTTCAAAGGGAGTGTTGTTCTTTATGCTGTACTAAACCCGAGGGAGTCATTCATGAGCAGTGAAGGCTTGATCCTCCGTTCAGCAATCGCCGCCCCACCATTTGACCAGTCATTGCTCATCCTCTATAGCAAGTGTCCGTGACCAGGCCGTGATTCGTGGACGGAGGATCAAGCCTTCATCAGTTTTTGTATATGAATGACCCACACGGCATTAGAGCTCCACGAAATGCACTTCCAACAGCTGTTACTCTACTCCCTATGACAGAAAGTGTGGGGAAAAAAGCTAGTTGTTTCTCTGTCATACTCCGTCACCCAGGATGGGTTGCTCCCTATCATATTTCATCACACAGAATAGGTTTTCCTGGTATATTCCATCACACAGGATGGGTTTCGTGCATCAAGTAATGAAATGTGTCGGCCTGAGTTGGGAGACTTTAGTAGGGTGATGAGGATATCATCAAACATTACACAATGGGTTCAGTAGGTACAGCAGTTTCGTGAGAGGGAAGATGCATGGGAGGATGTAGAGGTGTCTACCTGAGGTTAGTATGGAATATCTTCCATATCTAACCGGTCCAAGGAAGATACCAAGGGGTATCTTCCTTGGACGGGAGAGAGGATAACCTAACCTAACATAACTAATGCATGGACCCACACGAAGTGTTTACCCAAGTGGAGGAGTGACCAATGAATAATCATGGTATAAAATCCTTGGAGATCAGGTGTTACAAAGAAGGAACAATACCATCCATAGGCAACTGGGACGCATACTATGGTAAACAAGACGTGCATGCCTATGTACACGCACAACCGGCGCCATCACCCTATACATCACCACACGATACACCACACAACTTTCACGACACACATCACACCACACTTCACACCTTCACTACACCACACACAATTACTATGTATCACCTTTGAGCAGTACTCCATGAATTCGTCCATAGTGACCACTCCGTCCTTATTCAAGTCCAATTTCTGGAAAAAGACCGAAAGAGAAAGAGAATAAGACCTGATTACTTTCTGTTCCTAGGGCAAAGTATCCCTATTACGGGTTTAGTGCTCCATGTAAACATAATAATAATAGAATTAATAATAATAATAATAATAATAATAATAATAATAATTATAATTATACATTATTAATAATAATAATAATAATAATAATAATAATAATAATAATAATAATATTTACGTTATTAACTACTTTAGATATTGTAAAGTTCATAATCATGGTCTCTCTTTACTTGGGTTAAAGTAATTTAAGTTTCTGTAGTAATTTAAGATCCCGTAGATTCTATACCAGTTTTGTTGCGACCTTCTGAATCATCAGAGGGTCGCAACTGCAGGATAGGTGGAACACTTCTGCAGTTACAGACTGTATCCTCTATCTCGTCTTCTACATTCTCCTATATTTCCATATCCTTTCATAGGTATTTGATTAAAATAGCCACTTATTCAGCCATACCATACACAGGGGGTATAGTATTTGTATGAAAATAATCTCCATCGTTATAGAAAAGAGAAAAATGGGTGTGGGGGGTGGGTATGTTGGAGAGAAATTTGGCCTATGTTATATATTTAAAAATTCACCAGTGTGGGAATAACGCAGATTCATTTATTCAATAGTCTGTCGGCATTTTAAAACTACATTATGCTCCTAAAAATTTATATTTACTCTAGTCTGGGGACATCCAACCTGAACATAACTGTCTCTACTTCACCTGTACTAAGTAAATCCCACTAAATATAAACTGATCCGAGATAAGTTGGGTAGGATTGATCTGAAAATTAATGTATATTAATTTCTTACACGCATACGTTCATTTATATACAAATTGAATCAGATGAGTACACAAATATATACAGAATAATTAGTGCATATATACACATGTATACACACTCATAATGCCCATATAGCATTATCTGTACATATGGTAGGAACAAACACTGATTGTATTACTGACTAGCAAAGTATATATGAGTAAATACTGTATTTTTATCTGTACTTGAGTATAATAATACACCCAAGACGTTAGACATGTGTTGAAGAATATCCTGGGTACTGATGGATGGGAGTGTAAGATCGTATGAATGCTGATGGGGAATGTAAGAGTAAGTGGAAGAAGTAGGTGAAGGTAAGAATGTGGTGTTACTTGTCGGTAGGAAAGAGTGGGAAGTGGGAGGGGAATGGGGGTAGAAAAAAAAGGGAAGGGGATAGGTGAATATTAAAATGAATGGAGACAGTAAAAGAGAGGTCTCAGTTCCTGTGTATGTGTGTGTGTGTGTGTTCCTTCACCTGTGTGTACCAGTGTACGTACACTTGCCTACCTCGAAGACCTTGTCTACATGGTCAATGGCAGTGCCGTCATCGATACCATGGTTGCCTGGCTCTCCCATGAGATCATAGATAGACGTCACAATGTCAATGAGTTCCTCCTTGGTGATGTAGCCATCGTTGTTGATGTCGTAAGACTGCGGGAGGAAGGAAACCAGGTCAACACGGACGTAACTCAGCCTCTCAGGAAAGAAACAGTTATTCCATAAGGGGAAAATGTAGTAGCTGATTCACACAATAGAGAAAATACTTTAGTAAGAGAGTAATAAATACAGCATTATATAGCCTTTTATTGATGTAAGACATGAACAGAACCACGCAGGTGATGAGTACAGTAGTCTTCAAGACTACGGTACTCATCACCTGCTCCTAGGCCGAGGGACTCATTATCTCATCTTCCACTGTCTGCTGTAAATATTTCTAGTGGTCACATTATGTCTATGTATTGTACTGATAAAAACACTAAAGGGCGAAACGTCTAGAAGTAAAGATACCCAGATGTTGCATATATGTCTAATTCATCATCGCGTCGGCATTGAATACCATTGATATACAAATCTATCCTGACTGAATCATCTTTAAAAAGTTAATCCACGTATGATGTTGGTACTAATGTCTGCCGTTGATGAAGAGCTGCTTCGTATGATTCCTGACTAACCTGTTGATAAATCCTCGGGTATCATACCTGCCTTAAACACTCGTTAACCGCTTGGTATCATACATGATTAACATGCTGATGAATCCCCATGGTATCACGCCTAAATTAAATGCTCGTTAACCACTTGGTATCATATCTAACTGATAAACCCTCTGGTATCACACCTGTCTTAAACACTCGTTAACACTCGTTATCTGATTAACCCTTGTTAAAGGGGTTTAAACCCTGTATGCAACACGAGGGTCACCAGATAAGAATACTTTAATCCCTAAAAATAGGGATTAAAATAAACTCTCGGTGTATATACAGTGACAGAAATACACTTCTCAGTTTGTATATCCTGTGGTGTCAAACTAGATTTATTTGTTGATGGTTCCACACGTGAGGGAGAAGTTAAACACATAAGAAATGTTAAAAGTATACTAGTTAAAAGACAAATAACGATGTAAATAACTAAGTAGGAAAAAGAAGTGTCCATTGAAGGGATAACTGAAGAGAAGTGACCATTGAAGGGATAACTGAAGAGAAGTGACCATTGGAGGATTAACTGAAGAGAAGTGACCATTGAAGGGATAACTGAAGAGAAGTGACCATTGAAGGGATAACTGAAGAGAAGTGACCATTGAAGGGATAACTGAAGAAAAGTGACTATTGAAGGGGTAACTGAAGAGAAGTGACCATTGGAGGGTTAACTGAAGAGAAGTGACCATTGAATATGCAGCTGAAGAGATGTGATCATTGGAGGGGTAACTGAAAAGAAGTGATCATTGGAGGGGTAACTGAAGAGAAGTGATCATTGAAGGGGTAACTGATGCTTACTTGAAAATCCAGTTTATTCTCTCCTGCAGCGTCCCCTTCAGTAGCACCGACAATCCCATGATGAAGTCCCCGAAGGTGATGGACCCAGACCCGTCCTGGTCCATCGTCCCAAACACGTAGTGGGCGTACATGGCAGAGTCTGTGAGAGAGTTGGTGTCTGTAATGAACGTACATGAAAGAGCCCGTGTTGACAGTGATTGTGCATGACAGTGATTGTACATGACAGTAGGTGTGGATGAGAGTGGGTGTGCACACAGACAGTCTGTGTGGATAGCGGATATATGTATGTGTGTATAAATATGTATGTTTGCATATATCTTAAGCGAAATGCAATATCTTCTCAAAATATACCAAATAAACTTCATCTCTAACACGAGGACATGTCCAGGAAATCCGTGACATACAAGCGTCTTGGGAGACGAGTGCAAGGAGCTTACTTCTTCCTGATCCGTCGTCGGGCTGGCCTCCCAAGGGAAAGAATTTGCCGTAGATCTCCTTGAAGGTCTCTTCGGAGATGACACCCGTCGGACACTCTTGCTTGAACCCTCGATACCTGACGAGAACATTAATAAGAAAATATATCTTAAATAATAATACTGATAAGTTGGACATAGAAAGTACTTTAAATTAAAAGGGAGAAAATAACGATGTTATGTTTGTGTCAAGCATCGGAAAGAGTACTAGGAGAGAAGTAAATAATGTATTTGAATATCATAGGAATACAGTTAGAAGCCCGAGTGTGTTTATAACTATGATAAAATGAACGTAGCATGTCTGTGATGAATGGTTTGAAAAACCGACAAGTTGAAGATTGAGACACTTATGCAGCATATGGGAATCTTTATTCAGGAAACGTTTCGCCACACAGTGGCTTCATCAGTCCTTACGCCTTCCTCTTTGTAATGGACTGATGAAGCCACTGTGTGGCGAAACGTTTCCTGAATAAAGATTCCCATATGCTGCATAAGTGTCTCAACCGTAGCATGTCTAAGGAACAACTTGCAATGCAACCAGACTGATGTTGTACTAGCCAAGCTTAGGCTTCGTTACAAGTTCCTCTGGCAGTTTATCACACGTACAAAGATGCTGTTGAAATTAACTGCAAAATATGTGGTCAGCATTGTGTCACTCTCTTGAAAACTATGTGCTTTCTTCTCCACTTATTGAGACAGCACAATTATCCGTTATATGTCAAGCTATCTTATTAGGGAAAATAAGTTAATAGACATACTGGGCAAGTGTCCTAAATTTGCTGGTAACAAGTATGACATAAATTGTCATATATACTTCTGTTAATGATTATACCTCTCGGGGCCTGTTAGGTCTTATTGTATATCCATATGTACTTGCGTTAACGTCCATTTAATGTATATGGGATGCTCAATAAACTAGCCACTACCGTCCACAGGATGTATATGAAGCGCACAATAACCTAGCAAAGTCTAAAATATATTCAACTAACCTCCAAAATGGAAATATAAACTAAGCATTTTGATCCGTTAATGATGGCTATCGGAGTGAAACGTCTAGTTTTGTCCCCCGTCATTAGTAACGTATAATAATAATAATAATAATAATAATAATAATAATAATAATAATAATAATAATAATAATAATAACAGCAACAACAATAATAAATAATAATAATAATAGCAACAATAAAATAATAATAATAATAATAATAATAATAATAATAATAATAGCAATAATAATAGCAATAATAATAGCAATAATAACAACAATAATAATAGCAATAATATCAACAATAACAATAAAAATAGCAACAATAACAATAATAGCAACAACAATAATAATAGCAACACTAACAATTACAATAACAATAACCATAACTCTACATCTTACATAAACTGTAGCTCCTCCTTAGTGAACCTGGTTGCCTCACACAGCTGGTCGAGTCCCTCTGGTCGGTACCTGAGAGGCGCTAGTTCGAAGTCTTCATATTCTTGATCTGTAATAGAAAACGTCTCTTTTAACGTCACAGAAAATGTCCTCGTTACCTTCAGCGGTAACAAATTTGATTACTAAAATAAGTCAAGGAAGAAGACGAAGAAGAAGAAGCAGAAGACGATGACCAAGAAGAAAATGATTAAGAATTTAGTTACGAATATCATCAACCCTGGATAATTCACTACAGTCGGGGCGTCATAAGGGTTTGTTCGGATTTTTAACCCGAATGGTCAGCCATTCAGGTTAACACAGTCAGGTCAGTGCATTATCAGGGATTGACTGTCTTATATCCACCAGTCACTAACACCGGGGTACCTACTAACTGCTTGGTGAACAGGGACAGTAGGTGTAAGGAAACATAAGCAACATTTCTCCCCTGCCGGGGAGCGATCCCCGGTCCCTCAGCGTATTAGGTGAGAACGCTACCAACCGAGCCCCGAGAACCTTATATCTACTTTGCGCAATAAGAGCAATAATACCTCGACTGAAATAATTCAAAACAGTCCAAAACGAATGATATTTCACTATACCAGATTTCGGCTGTTATCTGACCATTGTTAAGTTGCCAGCGAGTAGGAACACGGTGAAAGGCAGCTGAAAGATTAACGGAGGAACACTGCAGCAGGCCTACTGGCACATAGAAAGCAAGTTATTTATCATGACCATTTCCACCCACCTATTTCTACAACCTTTTTCCAAAGCTTCCTAAGAATTTGCTTCAATACCTCAGGTACTAGTCAAACTTAACCCTGAGGGACTGACCACCTCATATCTCCAAGGTTGATGGACTGATTACATCATCTTTAATTCACTACTACACCTGCTGCCTCTGTATTTGACTGAAGAAGTCTACTGTGTAGGCGAAACGTTTCATCAATAAAGACACCCAACAACTGCACATGTGTCTTATTCTTCAGAAAGGTAGAACTTGCCTAGCATGGGCCAGTAGGCCTGCTGCAGTGTTCCTCCTTTCTTATGTTCTTACGGGAACTTTATAAAAAGGTAAAATATAGCGAGCATTTCTTGCCGAGTCAAAAACGAACAGCTTAAGAAGCGCTAAACCTGTAAGGATTACAAAGCACCTAAGGGAAAGGGATGAAAAACGTTAAGGTTCGATTCAAAGTCTCTGAGAGGGCCAGGTTGATCAAATTACCTGGATCAAGAGCTTCTCGGCGGTTCCAGGAACCTTCTTTAAGGTGACTACAACAGAGAAATATTTTAGGGATGACGTTTGAAGACGACGGACGGACTGCTTAACAGGAGAATCCCTTCAAAGGGATACCTCGATAAAATTCCTTCTTTCCTTTCTATTTTCCCAGGCTTTGTATGATCCATCCCCCTACGGTTTAGCGCTTCCTCGTGATTATGATAATAATAATAATAATATAAGCATCAAATTTTTGTATTACTACTACTGCTACTACTACTACTACTACTACTAATAATAATAATAATAATAATAATAATAATAATAATTATAATTTTGCAGGAGAGAGCTGACCCGGAGAGCAAGATGCTGTTTTCTGAAGGTGCTCAGATATGTGATATTACTCCTATCCATTCCTGTGTGGTCGGGGCAAGAACAGTAACGCGGGACTCAAGTGTCGTGACCTCGGTGCCAGAGAGTGCCATAAATGAATTTCCCGGGCTTCTAGTGCCAGTGAGAATGGCGTGAGGGTCGCCTTGCTGTGAGAATGGAGAAGTGCTACACACACACACACACATCGTTGGTGCCTCCGCTGGGATGCTGCTACTAAATCCTGCGTTGTTGGTAATTACTGTGAGAGCTTGATGTGGTGGTTGCAGTGAAAGGAATCATGCAGTGGTATGTGTGTGTGTGTGTGTGTGTGTGTGTGTGTGTGTGTGTGTGTGTGTGTGTGTGTGTGTGTGTGTGTGTGTGTGTGTGTGTGTGTGTATGTGTGTGTGTGTGTGTAGAGCTAACACAATGAAATCATAAATGTAAATGCACGGCCCTATTGTTATGGATATAAATTTATATCACGGCCTTGCCATAAAATGGGAGTAACAGTTACATGCTACGTCCAGCCAGGAGACACCAGAGCTGAGAAAGGTTCTCACACTTCCGGGTCTCCCGTCATAGAGTAAAGGCAATCTTTAAGGGTGTTCCAAGACTCATACAACACTATCTTTGCACACAACTAAGTAACAATCTTATACTTTTTCATTGGAGCATAAAATCTATCTCCCACAGGCCATTGGATGCTTAACCATTTAACGTCCAGGATACGTGTATCTTTCCTAACAACCAAACCACCATCACTCGTATACCAGTATCTTACAAGATGTACTTGATATTCGTATTTAGATTCCCTAGTCCTTTAGGCGGTAAATTAACAAGGCAGTTCCATATTCACTGGAATAACGTTGGACAATCGATAGGGTAACCATAAACACCCACTCTGGCGCGGCCACCTTGTGTTAGCAGACAGATGACATGATCAGTCCCAACAAGGAGGAAGCCTTGATGCTAGCGAAATGGTCTCTATACAAGCAAATGTAACTTCTCTCCTCTTCTCTACATCAATCTCGGTTACCCTACCATTTCCCAAACGTTTTCTAACCCCTACTGGGTTAGCAGTTGCCCTTAAATTTAATAGTAGTAATAATATAAAGAGTATCATGGTACGAAACCCATAGCCATAAGCCTGACTATTACTACTAAGCCTATGGTTGGTACGATGTGCCAGCTAGCAGATTGGTAATCTAATAGCGTGGCTGCGAATCCCCGATGGGCGGCGAGGTGTTACGTAGAGTTGTATTTAGAATTCCAGGAACAATTGAGTTTGATATTCACGCAGGCACACACGTGCACTCAAACACCATACACATATTCCAAAGTTGTTATGAGAGGGTCAGGATCAATGTATGCCAGCCAACGTATACACAACTCGGTGAATACTCTGGCTTTCGTAAGCATACTCATACATATATACATAATGTAGGTATGGAAATCGCCATACTCATTTCGAAAGAGAAAAAAAAAGGGGGAAATAATATTAATTAATTAATTAATAATAAAATAATAATAATGACCAATCGGATTATGATCTATGCTATTATGACTAAATATTTTATATTTTATTAATTTTTATTTATTTTACATTTGTGTATAATTCCACAACTCTATTCCATTCTCAGTGTTTGATTAACTGATTTTAGTCATTCATTCTCTCTCTTTCTCTCTTTCTCTCTCTTGCAGTCTGTCACTCCTTCCTTTTACTTACCTGCCTCCCTCCCAGCATTTCAATTAATGACGTTCTTATTCCCGCTCTTTCTCCTCTCTTTTTCTTCCTTCTTTTCTTGCCTTAAACTACAACTGTAATATCATCAACTGTCCACCACCTTTCCACCCACATCCCGTCCCTTTCCACCGACCTCCTCTTCCTCTCCGCCCCGTTCCATCCCTCTTCCCCATTCCCAACCTTCCCACCCCTTCCCCCCTTTCTCCAATCACACAAAGAAACACACACACATACATACACACACACACACACACACACACACACACATATATTATATATATATATATATATATATATATATATATATATATATATATATATATATATGTTGTTGTGTGTGTGTGTGTGTGTGTAATAAAAACTCTGGGTCGGACATTAAATTTTCACACATGAGAAACTTCCACACTTGTTTACCTTCAGCTGCGTAAATGGAACAATAGATTTAAATTCCTCTAATAAAGCAAGTGGCCCAAAAGTTTGAACTCTGTCTATAACAGGAAAATATAGTGAACTCTGGTGGTGATGCGAGAAACGGGAAATTGTTTAATGATTTGACGTAGAAAATAATGTTTATAATACACACTGTATTGACCATTGAAAATGAAGATCTCTTAATGCAAGTAAAATTAACTACAAAAATAATTAGCTCAGTAGTGAGCACAAAGAAGCAGCGGAGTAACTGTGAACTGCTCAGTAACTGCGCACTGCTTGGCAACTGTGCACTATACGAACCCTCGTTGGCAGTCACGGCAAAGCGAACTCTCCTCTATCTCTCTCTCTCTCTCTCTCTCTCTCTCTCTCTCTCTCTCTCTCTCTCTCTCTCTCTCTCTCTTTGATCCATCAATATAATCCTTTATTCTTGAAACATGAACAAAAATCATGCCGCAAGAAATTATCCAAGATCATCAGCAGGAATTGGCTTAACTCAGACACCGCCCCAGGAGGGAGAGAGAGAGAGAGAGAAGCAGCCAGCCTCCCTCACCACAGACACGTCGAGCAAACGGTCCAGGAGAACAGTCTGAATGACAACACCGGATGACACAGGGATACCAAATGACACAGGGATACCAAATGGCACTGGAATACCAAATGACACTGGAACATCAAATGACACAGGGATACTAAATGGCACTGGAATACCAAATGACACTGGAACACCAAATGACACAAGGTCACCAAATTACACAGGAATACCAAATCACACAGGTAGCGCAGGAAGCGCTCGTATAACAAGCAAAGGCGCCCCATTGGAAATAAAGAATCTCAAAGGAAATAAGTAACTTTGAGCCTTTTTGAAGTTATCCTAAGTAATTTACACATGTTACTAGGTATGATAATTATACATATGTGTACCTGTACCTAAATAAATGTATTTACTAAAGAGCTCTTAATCCCTTCTCCGTGAAGACCACAACATAAACTAGGTAGCCAGGTACTTGCTGAACTTGACACAGGTAGCGCTGGCCTAGTACCTCACGTCTTAATTAAGCGGAGATCCAGACTTACCAAAATCACCACAGGGACTATTGACAGTGAAGGAGGGAGTAACGAGAGCGGCTTCACGTTAACGATTGTAATTAATAAGTCCATATATCGACCAATTAAAACCACGGGGAGACATAGATGCCATTACCACTGGATTGAGGTACCTGGATCCACCGGGAGGCCTGGTCTATGACCCAGCTGCCGATGTGTTGACCCTGGAGGGAGTGTGGCTGGAGGGAATCAACGCCCTTAC